GGTATTTCCTTTTTTTAATATTTTTAAAAATTGTACCTCAAGTACAGTTGTCTCCATTTCCCCCCACTACTCCCCTACCCCAGCCCAGCCATCCTCAGGTATTTTCTAATGTTTCTTGTGGTTTATCCTTTGATCCACTGGTTGTTTAAATGCATGTGGTTTGCTTTTCATATATTTGTGAGTTTTCAAATTTCCCCATTATAGTTTTCCAGTTTCATTTCACTGTGACACGAAGAGATGATATCCAGCTTTCAAAATTGATTAGGACTTGTTTTGTGACAAAAGGAGACTCTTCCCTTAGAGTAATAGTTTCCACTCCCCTCTCCCCCGGCAATAATCTCACTCCCCTTATTGTAATAATCTTTGTTTAAAAATTCTCACCTAGCCTTGGCTGGCATAGCTCAGTGGATTGAGCTCGGGCTGGGAACCAAAGTGTCCCAGGTTCGATTCCCAGCCAGGGTACATGCATGGGTTGCAGGCCATAACCCCCAGCAACTGCACATTGATGTTTCTCTCTCTCTCTATCTCCCTCCCTTCCCTCTTCAAAAATAAATAAATAAAATCTTAAAAAAAAAGAACCACTTTGTTTAAAAAAAAATTCTCACCTGAGGATGTGTTTTTATAGATTTGAGAGAGGGAGAGAGAAACATCAATCAGTTGTGTCCTATATGCATCCCAACCCGGGATCAAAACTGTAACCTAGGCATGTGCCCTAACCAGGAATTGAACCAGCAACCCTTTGGTGTAGGAAATCATGTTGCAATCAACTAAGCCACTTCCCAGGGCTTGTGATAATCCTTTGAATAAAGTCTCTCCTTATCTAGATCCAAATTTGTTTTTTATGTGACAGACTGAAGGCTGAAGGCCAGCCTCCTCTGCTCAGCTGTGCAGCCCTTGGAGAGCAGACCCCAGACAGAAATCCAGGGATGTGACCCCACCTTGCCTCCTTTACCCCAGGTTCCAGCTATCACAAATGGACTGCTCCTGCCCAGACAGTGGCCATGACCTCTCCCAGCCCCTTGCTTGTGCCTGATGTCACCACTGCTTGGGACGCTTTCCCTCCCGTTGCTGCTTAGCCAACTCCTGCTTTCCCCTCAAGGTGCATCTCCAGATGGGTTTCTCCTGAGAAGCCTTTTCTTACTCCCTTTCCAACCCTGAGGGCAAAGGCCAGAACTCTGTTCCTTGGACCCCCAGGCTATGGGAACCTCATCACACTGTGTTTTAATAGTTTACATGTTTCTGTGCCTTTCCCAAACCCCAGACCATGGACTTGAGCCTCCCAGAGGCAGGTACTATATCTTCTTCCTCTTACTGTTACCGGTGTATAATGGACATGCAGTAAAAGTTTAGAGAACAAAGAAATGGGGAGAAATGTAAGGGTTTCCCAATGTTTCCTTCATGAATGTGATGCAAAAGAGCTGAAATGTACTTTTCTTATGAAATGAGCCGAGAGCAAAAGTTTCTCTGGTGACCTTGAAAAGAAGAACTGGAGAAAGTTTGTCAATCTGCCACAGTGACTCTGTGAAGGCTGAGCTGGGAGGCTCTCACCCCATGGTTCAAAGTCATCCAGGAGTTTGACCACCCACAGACATTGGGAAATGTCTGGAGATACTGTGGTTGTCAAAACAGGGCCGGGAAAGCTCCTGGCATCTCATGGGCAGAGACCAGGGGTGTTGCTTAACATCCTACAATGCACAGGACAGCCCACCCCCACACAACCAAAAACTCCCCTCAGCCACAAATGCCCCAATATCAACAGCACTGAGGTTGATAAACCATGGCCCTAATCCAACCTGTGGGAAAGGGCAGGATTGGAGGGGGTGGAAAGGCAACGGCCACAGCATGTGTGAGGAGGTGATATTTGAGCCCACTCTCACAGGATAAGCATGGGCTGCAATGATGGAGAATGGGGACACTATGACAGGAAGGTGGAACCAGGTAAATTCAGTGTGGGGAGGCCAGAAGGGGCAGGAGGTGTTCAGGTGGTGGCAGGGGTGTGGCTGAGGTGTGTGATGAGTGAGGTGATGATGGTGAGGTTGTGAACATTCCTGAACAACTCCCACCAGAGTGGATACCTTGAAAGCAGCAGGTGCGGAAGGATGTCTAGCCAGAGAGGAGGGGCAGAGTTGGAGCTGAGTGTGAGAAGCTCCCTGTGCTGCTGGTGTTGGCGACAGGCTGGATGGGATGAAATGGAGCCCAGATCAGGGACTTGGTGACTTGTGGGAAAGGGCCATGTGGAAGAGATAAATGAGACAAAACCTCCGCCGTAAGTCCTTGAAACAGGCCTTCTACTTATTTGCCACCTTCAGCATCAGCAGCCTTTCTGTTCACCACAAGATCATCCACTTGGTTAGGGAACAGATGGAAAGTTTGTGATCGCTTGTTTATGATTTGACACCAAGAGGTCATTTAGGGACTCAAATGATGACCTGGGCAGCATATGGCACTTTGACCAGGCACCCAGAGCTGACTGTTCCTGAAGCCCACCATGCACCAGGTGCTGGCCATGCATAATTCATGGAATTCCCAGAACAGCCACACGGGCTGAAGCATGTTCTTACTTCATTTCACAGATGAGCCAGTGGAAGGAGCCAGAGGCTAAGTGGTGATGCGGGGGTTTGAATCCTGGTGGGATGAGTCGAAGAGTGTAAATGATGTTTGTTTTTTTTAATAAAGGGGAAATACGTAACATGAAACTAATCATTTCCAAAGTGAACAATTTAGTGGCATTTAGCACATTCACAATGTTATGTAACCGCCACCTCTCTCTTGTCCCAAAAGAGTTTCCATCACCTGAATGGAAACCCCGTACCCCTGAATCAGTCATTCCCCATTGCATCTTCCCTGAAGCTCCTGGCTGCCCCTAATCTGCATTCTCCCTCTATAGGTTAATCTCCTTGGGATGTTTTGTGTTAACAGAATCATACAATATGTGATGTTTTGTGCCTGGTGTCTTTCAAGTAGCATGTTTCTGAGGTTCATCTATGTTGAAGCATGTATTCATGTGTCACACCTTTTAAAAAATAATATTTTATTTATTTATTTATTTTAGAGAGGGGAAGGGAGGGAGAAAGAGCAGGAGAGAAACATCAGTGTGTGGTTGCCTCTTGCACTCTCCCTACTGGGGACCTGACTTGCAACCCAGGCATGTGCCCTGACTGGGAATCGAACTGGCAACCCTTTGGTTCACAGGCCAGTGCTCAATCTACTGAGCTACACCAGCCAAGGCCCAAAGATGAGTTTTGTCTGCTTCTGAACATCATGTCAATGGTATCACATAGCACATACTCTTTGTGTCTCTGTTCTCTTCCTCAACACAATGTTGGTAGGATTTACATGCATGGTGTGGAGCTGTTGTCTGCTTCTTCCACTGTGCGAATAATCTGTAACATGTGGACCTGTAGATGGGAATTCAGGGAGGTTGCATTGCTCAGCCCTCACAGGGAGTGCTGCTGGGGACTCCAGGTGCACGTTTCAGGGGCATTTGCACACTTCTGTGTTAGCTCTGCCCACCCCAGCCTGGAGTGGAACTGCTGGCTCGTATGCTCAGTGTTTCCAAGAGGTCGTCCCAGTTCTCCTCCCCACCAGCATGTCTCCAAGTCCCAGTGGTTCCACATCCCAACCAACACTTGATTGTCTTTCAAAATGTTTTGATTGCTCTAAGGAACACACAGCATAAAACTTACTCGTTAGCTATTTTTAAGTGTGCAGTTTAGTGGCCTTCATTACATTCATTTTGTGCAACCATCACCACCATTCACCTCCAGAACTTCTTCCTCATCCTGAACAGAAATTCTGTACCCATTAAACACAAACAGCCCAGGCCTTCAGTCTGAAGCCCTTGGTGACCACTATATGGTACTTTTGTTTATTATGGTTAAAAACACAAAATGCTTCACTTTTTTAAGTGTACAGGACAGTGGCGTTGAGTCTACCCACGTGGTGGTCCATGATTCATGGACAAACCATGAATGTTCAACCAGATCTTCATGTTGCAAAACAAACTCGGTAGCAGCTTCCCATGTCCCATCCCCCAGGGGCCCTGTGCCCTCTGTTTCTCAGAGTTTAATGGCTGCAGATACCGGGGGTAACTGGG